AGCTCCGTGTAGTACTTGAGCTTGGGCTCGGTGCCGCTGGTGCGTACTGTAACACTGAGGCCGCTGTCGCAGCGGAACGCGATCATCTCCCCGCTCCTGTACTCCTGGTCTAACCCGGTGCCGATCACTTCTATAAATTTACACATATTTATATTAAATACTAGCTGTTGCTCGCGACTCTGTCCGCGCGGAATTAGAAAACATAATTACTAGTCCATGTGTTCTTGCACACTATGTTTTACTCGTGTGCCAAATGCAATTGCGATCAGTTCAGCTGTTCTGGAGATACATTCAAACAAAAATCCATCCATCCATCCACACATCTAAAAAATCGCATATAGGAGACTGAGACAAAAATCTATGCATAAAACATATCGTTGTCTTTATCTTTGATAAAACCGACATATAAATATGTTTCAAATGGTGATTTGTGTCTCAGAAACCCACGGAAAGAAATGCTTATACTTACTTAAATGTGCTTCTCCGATGGCCTTCTCAGGTATTTTAACGCCTTGTGTGAAATCGTTTATGTGAACGATTTCACAAGATCCAACTTTCTTAGGGTACTGGAAAAATTACACAATAATTAAAGCAATACCGCTAAAGATTTTCTGGTAAAATCTGCCAATTTTAACAGTTGATTTAAATCATGACCCAGGTATTTTAAGGCTTTAAAATCCCATCAAAATGGGTATAGCCATTCCGGAGATCAGTCAGAACAAACGTGGCACGTGGACAGACAGTAAGGACATTAATTAAGAAATGTTTAATTTGCGAAAATATAAATTTCAAATATATGCATGAAGTCCCGGGAGAAAAAGCGGCGACGCCACCCGTCACGTTCCTTCTCCCGAAAAGTGGAAAAGTGAATTGCGGATTTTCGTTAGGTCACACCAAATGGAGATCCGTAGTCTCTGCCTAACCTTTTGGGTTACAGGCGTGAGTTGTGTATTGTGTTAGCGGAAAGAAACTCCTCAAAGTCAGATGTGTCAAGCTCCCTATGTAGATCACGCTGCTAGGTATGGAAGTCATCATTCCAAGAATACTAACAACACCAGATCCATGGTAATTCCTGATACGTCTGAATATCTTCTGTATGGTGGCGGGGTCGTGGCAGATGAAGTAGCCGTTCTGCGACACGTGGTACCCGAACTGCGCGTACAGACCCTGCAGCTGCTCACTCAGAGATGACCCGCTGGAGTACAGCTCGGAGGCCAGGGATGCTACCTACAGGAAAACGTCATTTCAAGGTCAAGCGAAAACTTATCATCCCTTTGTAAAGAAATTGCGAACTATGTTTTTTTAATTAAAATAGGTTTATAAATGCATATTAACTTTTACGTTCCTCAGCGAGGCTAGTATGAAAATTTGCGAGAAATTATGGAAAGTGATGTATTGTCGACAACGTTACGAAAATGTTCTCGGGAATTTTCGTGCTGGGTCTTCTGATGAACGTGAAAGTGAAAAGTGCACAAAATTAAAAAAAATACGAATAATGATTGGGTTTGGACCAATAGGTGAACACGTGTCAATTTGTCTGTCAGTCTGTCAAATACCTGTACGGCAGCAGAGACGCCATCCTTGTCAGGTACGCGGGAACCGCACATGTAGCCGATGGCCTCTTCAAACGCGAAAAGTGTCTTTTTATCTTGTTGCGAGAGCACCAGTGTTGTGTTACCTGACCACAACAATTATACACACTATATTTACACGTGTATCAACATATCGCCATCACTTTCTATCTCTCTGTTATAATAGAGACAGCAATATAATTTTAGTCATTGTTAGAATCCTTTAGCGCTAATGGCGCTTTTTCATTACAAAGTGAAGTGTCAGAATGATTAGTGAGGGGACATAGACGTCGACATTTTAGTAACGATAGTGTTGCGCCGATACACCGGCATAGTGTCGGAATTCTTCCTAACAATAAGGATTACGATTATGAAAAAAAACAGACTTCAATTTCACTCAAAATGTTAACAAATAAAGTATTGTTTTTAAAAGATACGACAAAAAAAATAAACGCTAGAATGACAGACTAAATTTGACAGATGACATTCCACTGTTGACGCTAGCGCCACCTATCAGCTTTCAGTTTTTCTTTCAATTAAATTTAAAATGTTCGACAAATAATACATACCCATCCACTTGAAACCAGTGAGGGTTTCCACGAAGTATCCTCTGCCTTTTACAATGGCTTTCAGCATCTTGGAGCTGACGAAGCTGGCCAGCAAGTACACGTCACAGTCATCACTGGTCTTGCTGTGCTGCTCCAACAGCCACGAGCCCAGCAGCGCACCCATCTCGTTACCAGTGAATACTTTCCATGTCTTCTTACTATAATATGTAGTCGAGGAATTAAATTTCCTTACCACTTAAACATAGCACATAAAAACTTGTCATAGCAACAAACATATGAATGTTTGTCCCTATGACAAGTTTTTTTTAATGTTATAGACATGCGTGAGATGGAGGTAAAACCGCGCTTCGTCTGTTGAGGCCTATTTTAGTACTCTCCCCTTCCCACTCTATTTTAAAATGAGGATAGGAAGGGGAAGTGTATTTAACGAAGGAAAGAAGGAGTGAACGCATATTAAGAGGAAATATTCTGTTTATGTTAAAAGGTAGGCAACGCATCTGGGCTATGGTCGCTTCACCATTTCTGGAAATTCAGATAACCACTTGCTTATTTGCTACGTCATAAAAAAACTCTATTTGGCTACTAAATGTCGT